GAGCGGTACTTTGTGTTGGGGCAGCACTCTCTGAGCTATTATAAGCCTACAAAGGATGGAGACGTAGAGCTTAAGGGCGTCCTGGAGCTTAAAGCGGCGGATGTCATCACGCCACTGCCTCACTCGGATGTTTGGCTGCGTATTCGCCAGAAGGAGGGGCCTGCTGGTAAGAACTATAAGCTGGATCTGAAAGGTACGACCTGGTGTGATATGGGATGAAAAAGTATACATGGTGGCTGCTGATACTTTAATGGCAGCTTTGAACTTGCAGGAGCGACAGGAGTGGATCGAAGCGCTCCGCAAAGCCTGTCGGGTGTGTGGCCTTTGTCAAATATTGAAAAATGTTTTCGTACTAATCCGTGTTTCATCCGCTCTGTTCGCAGAGCGAGCAATTGATACGCCAGCGGGCAATCCAGAGGGACGTTAGTTTGCTACAAGTACGCTCCAGTAGGCGGGGCCAGAACGCGAAAGCGATGGCTGAACTTCTTTCATCCCCCATGGCGCCTGACAACGTAGGCACGCCTCGGGTAGATTTGCGTGCTTCTTTTCAGATTTTCCATGAAATGGTGCTGCTGAAGAAGCTCCTTGATAAGATACAAAGTACGTGGGGGCCTCCTTCACAGTGGTCAATGGCACAGTATCAAGAGCTTGTTCAGGGCATTTGTCTCGCTCAAGAGAAATCAGGGAGCCCCGAGCCTAATCCTGACAGCATTTTGGCGGAAGCATTCAAGTTGCGGTACCAGTTTGAGGAAATTCCAGAGAATCAACGAAAGCTTTCACGGGGACGAGGGATCCTCTCGGTGCTTCACGGGATGTCAACTGCAGAGAAAACTAAAAGGAGGTCGAACATGACTCCCCTGTTTGCTTTCGTCTTCTAACGTCGCCGGCGAATACGCTGCCCCTCGTTTCACAGGCTACTACGCAACTTTTTGAGGGAGCTTGTCCGAACCGAGCTTGGGTCAGCAGCTAAAGGCGGGCGTCTAAGCGACAAAAACGGACGACAACATTGCTGGACACCCCGGCAGTGCGACGCCTGGGCTTAAATAC